CGCGACCGTACCAGGGCCCACGCCCTGCGTACAGCACGAGATCCGACTGAAGCATGGGAGCCGGCCCATCAAACAACGGTTTCGGCCCCGTAACCCGGCGATGCAAGGCATCATTGACCGAGAGGTCCAAGAAATGGAGCAAGAAGGCATTATAGAACCCGCGCATAGCCCGTGGAGCTCCCCGGTCGTATTGGTGCGGAAGAAAGACGGCAGCCGAAGGTTCTGCATCGACTTCCGAAAGGTGAACGAGGTCACGGAAAAAGATGCCTACCCACTGCCGCAAGTGACCGCCACGCTGGACAAGCTCCGCGGCGCCCGGTACCTGAGCACCATCGACCTCAAAAACGGGTACTGGCAGGTGGCTTTAACCCCCGCCAGCCGCCCTATCACGGCTTTCACGGTCCCCGGCCGCGGGTTAATGCAGTTCCGGGTGATGCCGTTCGGCTTACATTCCGCCCCCGCCACGTTCCATCGCCTCCTGGACAACGTGCTGGGAGCGGAACTGGAGCCCCATGTCCTGGTATACCTGGATGATATTATTATCACCACGCGGACTTTTGAGGAGCACATACGCGTCCTCCAGGAGGTATTTTGACGACTCCGAGCCGCCCACCTGCGACCAAACCCGGCCAAATGCCAGTTCGGACGTAACAGCCTCCGATACCTAGGGCATGTCGTGGACGCACAGGGGCTACGAACCGACCCCGCGAAGACGAACGCTGTCGCCAGCTGGCCAACCCCTACGACGATACGCAAGGTGCGCCAGTTTCTAGGGATGGCCTCGTGGTACCGACGGTTTATACCACAATTCGCCAGGACCGCCGCGCCGCTTACCAGGTTAACCCGGAAGTCGGCTCGATGGCACTGGGGCCCACAGGAAGAGGAGGCCTTCCAGTCGCTACAGGCCGCCCTCACCTCCACCCCGGTGCTCGCATGCCCGGACTTTGCACGGACCTTCGTGCTACAGACGGACGCCAGTGCTCTGGGCCTGGGGGCGGTGCTCACCCAGCAATTCGAGGAAGGGGAACGCGTCATCGCCTACGCGAGCAGAATGCTAAATCCCGCTGAGCGAAACTACAGCGCCATCGAGCTGGAGTGCCTGGCGGTCGTCTGGGGCATCCGGCGCATGCGGACGTACCTGGAGGGATACCGGTTCACCGTGGTCACCGATCACCAGGCACTGCGCTGGCTCCACAGCATGGACTCCCCCACCGGCCGGCTGGGCCGCTGGCGGTTCGAGCTACAGCAATATTATTTCGGGATAAAGTACCGGCGCGGCGTCGCCAACCAGGTCGCTGACGCCCTATCCCGGCGACCCAAAGTCTGCACCCTGCAACAGCCCGCTCGGGACCGATGGTACGAACAATTGGCCGGCCAGGTGCGCCAGCAACCACAACAGCATCTCGATTATCGCATCGATAAAGGACGACTCTTCCGCCACCTCATACACGACCTCGACTTTCGCGAGGTCCCCAGCCAGGAGCAATGGAAGGAATGTGTCCCACGGGAGCGGCGGCCCGAAATAATGCGCCAATACCATGACGAGCCTTCCGCTGGGCACCTGGGGATAGCCAAGACGATCGCATGGATCGCCCGACGGTTTTACTGGCCCGGCATGTATCGCGACATCGCCCGTTATGTACGACGGTGTCCGAGCTGCCTGGCCCATAAAACCCCCCAGGGTCACACAGCAGGCAAACTACACGCCACGGCGGTCCACGCGCCCTGGGAGCAGGTGTCACTGGACCTGGTCGGGCCTCTGCCGCGGTCAAGCCAGGGACACCGGTGGCTGCTCACGATGCAAGACCGGTTCACCAAATGGCT